GCTGGCCCAGTGGCCCCCGGGCTTGAGCGGCTGAGATGGCTTCTCGGGCCTTCTTGAAGTTGGACTCGTTATGGCGAAGTCACCCTCCTTCGTCATACACTCTTCGCCATATAGTCTTCGCCCAAGATGCCTTCAGCCTTGTGGGATACTAGCGCGATTCTTCGCCGTTCGCCGTCTTTGCTTCATAGTCTTTGCCATGGGGGCTTCGCCCCGACGAACTCGACGTCTTGGGCTTGAACCCCCACTGGTTGCATGGTTTCGGCAGGTCTGGTCGAAGGGTCTCATGACATACCGCCAACAAACCATATTGATCTTTTTTGAAAAAAAAATAGCAAATACTTAATTAATCACGCGCTAATGGACTGCTCCATTTTCCTTGCCAGAGGGTAACGTTCCCAACCTAATGTAGGTAACGAACGCAGCCTAAACATAGAGACAAGAACATTAACTTCTTTTTGCTGAATGGCCATCGCTTGGGTGTAATATTCTGAGTAACAACTACCCGAGTCCCTTTGCTCGAGTACCATGATGATGAGTAGTGTCTTCCCAAGTGGTATACATATCGCATATCTACTCTGTATTAAATAATATGCATAGCTCAAAGCCTAATGCACAATAGATTGGGTGTCCTCAAACAACACCTACGCCAAGTTTATTAATGACCAGCTGTCGACTCTTCTTAAGAGCATGTTGTTGATCCTGAGAAAATTATGATTCCTAGTTTCAGCTATTTTATAGTTACATGAGGTGCATCATAAATTATGTATTTGTAAGGTTCGACGAACACATGACATGCATTAAGATTTTAACATATCTGGCGATCTCCCCAATGGGTGTGCCAAGTTTACCAACACCCTATTTTTAGTTTAGCCCGCTGTCGAACATAAAAGGCCAAAGCCCATTACGCCAGCACGACCTCTTTTATATCTTCAAATCTTTGGCGGTCGTCCACTCCCCTCCCCTCCTCCTAGATCTGGTCAAAGGGGAAGAAGCCCGCATCGACAAAGGAGGTAGCGGCAGCAGATGGAGTGGCTCCTTCGATTGGCAGATCCAGGTGAGATGAGTTTATCAACGGCTTCGGCCAACGGATCCAGGTGAGGCGAGGTCTTCCACGTACAGCTCCAACATACGGATCCAAGTGAGGTGAGGGGAGGTCATGTCACCGTTGTGTAGATGCAGCCAAGGGAAGATTATGGCTCAGGCGTGTGGATGCAAGGGAGTACAGGTCACACTGCCTTAAGCTGCTCACCTCCAAGGACCAATGCGGCCTTCCTCTTGGTCTTCTTGGACATTTTTTGGTTTTGATTTCCATGTTCCTGGTGTATCAATGATGATTTAGGTTTTGATTTGTTCATGTTGTATCAGCGAGGATTTTGTATTGTGAATTTTGATTTTTGTTAAGCATTCAAGATTTCAACTGCTGGCAATTGGTTTTAGGCCCAGCTATTTTAGCGGCACAGCTGATGATTTTCTTTTAGCTGCGAAACTATTTTTCTAGGTGGCCTGTATTGTAGTCGTCTATGAAAATTGAGTTTATAGGTGGGTGACCTAGGTGGCTTGCTTACAAAAATAAAAGATTTTCAATCACAAGTAGCACGGCTGGCGGCCTGCGAAAACCTGTTCTGGTCATATGTGAAAATGGTTTCCATAGTAGTGATTTCGCTAAAAAAAAAAGCCTTTCTCTGTAATAGTAGTATGATCTTGCCTCATGCTTTACAATTTGTCACTCCTTTCAGTGTGTAGGTGTAAAGCGTTATTCTGCTCATACATGATCTATGCCATCTCATATGTTGTTAATTAGAGTGGAAAGTTTGAAATTTTCTTCTCATGAATTTTAATTTTGCCATTTGACATATCTACTAGTTTTTCTTAATTTTTGGAAACATAACGTTGAATTCTTCACAGTTCATTGATTTTCCTATAATTTTTTCTATGTTGTTAATGATTTGAATCTATATATTAATCACACAAAAGATCGAAATAAGCAGTACAACCACATAATTTTTTGTTTACGTCTTTAAATCCTAGCTAGGATCGAGTTGGATTTTTTTGGATGCTACAACAAATTTGCTAACATACCCAACAATTCTTTGATTTAAATAAGTAAAATACCACAATCCTTTTTATGTGTGATCATAATTTTGTTACTATGAACACTTAAGACGCTGATATTTTCAGCTCCACAGTAAAACCAACATTTGAAATGTGTGTACACCCTCCGTTCTATAATATAAGAACCTAAAATCAGATAGAATATTTTATAGTAGAACGAATATGGATAGTCTCTTATGTCTATTCGTTGTACTTGAAAATATCCCATTCAATTCTAAGATCTTATATTCTAGGACGAGAGGAGTAGCTGATAACAAGATGATGAGAGTGTACATTATACAATGCAGAACCTAGAATAAATTAGGACGGGAATATTGGCATGGCAGGACGTTGATCTTGGCAGATTATGCGACCATGTCGTCGACAATCATCAGGTAAAGACCTTATCTATCATGGGTCAATACTTAATAGAGCCGGCTGATATAGATATTCCCTGAGAAAATTAACATTAATTTTCTAGTCCAGAAGGAGTTAAATTTTCACTTGTCTGTGGACGGCCTGCTCTTCGATCATGTGAAACCATGTTATATAGGTTATAGACATTATGGCATTTGGTGTGGTTACATGTCATCAACAAAGCTGTCAAGATTCCATTTTAAAGGCATCATTTTATTTTTAATGTACAAGGTGCCAAAGAGCAATATTTGTCAAAGTTATCTGAATTGGGTGATTAAGAAAACAATCTTCTATTAAAATGTTTCAACAATATATTTTTGAACAACCCTAATTAGATTGTATATGCTGATTCAAAATATCCTCAAACTCGTAAGGGTGTTGAGGGCAGGCATTGAATTATCAAGCGAGGCTTATCATCACTACTTAAAAAAACACATACAGATCAGCACTATAGGTATCGGAACATCTAAAATTGGCATCTATAGTGTTTTCCCCACCTCCATAGACTGAAAATACAAAAAAAGGCACCTTTAAGTAACTATAGGTGCTGGTTCAAGAGAAAAACTGACACCTATAATATATTATATGTGTTGGTTAATTGAAAATAAACACTAATAATATAATAATATATTATAGGTGTCTTTTTTTAAACAAAAGGCACCTATCAAACGAGCCGAGCGCGAGTGGATAAAGACACGGGTGGGAGGTGAGGGGGGCATCCTTATCCACTCGCCCCCTCCTCTCACCCATCTCTCTCTCCCTCTCACTCGGTCACTCCCTGTCCTCCCCTCTTGTCCCTGCCCCCTCCCCCTCTTATCTCTCCCTTACTGGCAGTAGAGGAGGCGGCAACGGCTCCTGCAGCAAGAATCCGGTGGTCCTCAACCCCCTCCCGCGGATCCGCCGATGGCAGTGGTGTTTTCGGCGGGCTGATTCGGTGGAGGCGTCAGCAGCTCCCGCTGGCGGGTCTAACAGAGGCGGCTGCGGTGGCGTTTCTGGCGGGTGCATCCGGTGGAGGCGGTGGCGGAGGCATTTCCGGCGAGTGGATCCGGCGGTCCTCTACCCCCTCCTCCTCTCCCTCCGCGCCCAAGCTTCTCCTACAGCGGCGGCGGTGGCCTCAGCGCTCCCGTGGGCAGATCCGGTGGAGGTGGCGGCGGTGGTGTTTCCGGCGGCCGAATCTAGCTTCTTTGAAGCAAAGACCAGAATTTATTCTATTATCTAAAAAATAGGCTGCAGGGGCATGGGTATTGGGACCAAATTAAAGCAGCAGCTCAGTTACAGAGCATCCGAGGCATGTATGGTGATGTCGATGTGCAAGGTATTTTGCTAGATGGCTTGCCTGTTAGATTGAGTAGATTTGGACATGTGATCATATGCGATGATATATATACGTGTTGAATGTTTGAGGATGAATCTTGACCCTGCAAATTCAACTAATGATGAATTCTACAAACAGGCTAAATCCGTACTTTTATTGGCGGTTAGACCGCCAATAAAACTTTCCCTCACGGTTAGCAGACAAGAAATATGTATTTTCCTGTCGCGCTAGAATTGGTGGTTGTCCGTCAAGATAAATTACCTTGGCAGTTTTCATTCTATCCTTGATGGTTTTTATCCACCAAAAAATTACGGATTCTTGTAATAGTATAAATTATAAAGAACGGTCATGCGGCATTAAATAAGTTCAGTTCAGCAAGACAACGTACGACGAAATATATGTTGAGAATGAATGAAATGCAGGAAGAGTTTTGGAGGTGCAGATAAGGGCCAGAAATAAACTTATACCGTGCAAACAAAAAAATTATGTCTGGCAAATCAAATTAAATCTCCTCCGTATGCACTGATATGGAAAAATATACACACTTGTGCAAAAATTACACATCAAAGTTCTACTAACAATGCACTTTTATGCATTCTGCACTGCTTTCTATGCAATTTCTAGTGATAGATAAACAAGAACAAATTAGGCGACTGGCAAATAGCAAAAGTGTTTTGCAATGCTAATATTGTAATTGCACTTTTACCAGTTAGCAAACGCATTTTTTTCCTTATTTAATTTGTCATGTAACTAAACTTGAAAAATGCATAAAGTGAACTCGCACTATATATTAGAGTAGAGGCAACTTTATTATAGGTTAGTGCAATTTCTAGTTTTCATTTTTTTTATTTATTGGATTAGCGTTATTCATATCCTTTTGGGTAGATTATATTTGATTTTAAGTCCGGAAATTCATTGTTTCAATATCAAGGAAAATATGAAATGTAACCTATCGGATGCTGATCTAATTATTGAGAGAACATGATAGTTGATACATAAGAAAAACCAAACACCTAAGAAATGTATAGATGCCCCCTTTGTCATCATTTCCTCTCGTTAATGAGACAGAACAAAAGGTTTAAAAATTGTGATGCTTATCATCTCAAGGTATAATCAAACTAAGCATCATACGATAAATAGGGACCCCATTCCCCCAAAAGTTATGCAGGCACAACATAGCAGCAGCTAGCTAGCAAGCAAGATCTTCACTGCTTGAAGACCCCTTCCCCCTTAGCCCTATAAATGGCCTACTATGCAATCGCTCCACTAATGTGTGTCCTTCCCCTTATCCAAAATGAGCTCTGCATGCATCTGTTCTTGCACCAAGCATGGGGAGGACCAACCAAAAACCAATATGCAGTTGTAATCCCACCAGATAGCCCTAACGGTTTTGGTGGGACTGCTGCGAATGATTGGGTCATAACTGATGGATTGGATGCCAGCCGTAGTAATACTGTTGGTCGTGGTCAAGGATTTACTATCAATAATAGTTTGTCCAAGTTTAGCTTTTACACATCATTTAACTTGGTTTTCGAGAATGGGAGGTAATTCTATTGCATCCTTTAATTTCCCTTGTCTTTCTTATCTGGAATATCTCGGAACTTTTTTTCCTCGATCCTACTCTGAGAAAATCTATTTCTACGTAAATTAATTGATTGTACGGACTGAGTTAGTTCCACATCATATCATATAAAATTGCTCGTTTAACAGGTATTGCAACTTATGAAACATTGTTCTCACTGTCCATACCTTTTCTGTATAAAGCAGGTTCAATGGTTCAACGCTTCAGATTACCGGGGTTCTTCCGCAATCTGCTAATGGTGAGTGGAGCATTACAGGAGGAACTGGAGAACTTGCTTTGGCACGAGGCATTGCCAAATTTAAAGCTGTCCAGATGTCTAGTTTATCAAATGTGTATGAACTTACACTCCATGCATACTACAGCCCAATGGATTCATGCGGGGTAAGTATTTTTTTTTTGGCAACTTGCATATATATTCCCTTTAATTTACATGGCTGCATATTTAATAAATTCTGTTGTATTTGCACACTCCATATGTCCCTTTTATTTTCTATGTATTTCCATGCTTGCATCTAGATTTTTCTGGATGCTAGTAGCTCTGTAGCTGGGTGTCAAACATGTCACTATATATGTCAGTGAACCACTGTATACATTCGAATTTTTTTTTAAAAGCAATATGATTTTAATGGAAAATCGCAAAACTATATGTCAGTTAGGCGAAATCGCAAGTTTAGTACCCTGTCGAACAACCGCGGTTCGACAGGGATACCTATCGAACAACCACAGTTCGACAAGTACATGTCGAACTGCGTCAGTTCGACAGGGTAGGTGGTCCAAAAACAAATAAAAAATTACATGAACAGTATCACTACAATGCTAGGCAGGGACATATCGAACAACCAAAGTTCGATAGGGTTGCGTGAACAGCGCGCTACAGTGATGCTACAGTGCTCGCAGGCACATATCGAACTTCCTTAGTTCGATAGGGTATTGTGAACAGTGTGCAACTGTGATTTTTCTCTTTTTTTAATTTTTTTAATCACCTGTCGAACTACCGCAGTTCGACAGGTACCCTATCGAACTGTGGTTGTTCGATAGGTACTTTATCGAACCACGGTTGTTCGATAGGGTGCTAAACTTGCGATTTCGCCTAACTGACCTATAGTTTTGCGATTTTTCCATTAAAATCATATTACTTTTTAAAAAAATTCGTATACATTCAGTGTCACGGATATATGAAGAGGTATTAACATATCACAATTTTTCCGAAGTCCATTCCTAATGTTCCCTAGACATACATTGATAGTATTTTAGTTCAAATATATTATATTTTATATAGCATTCCTAGGGCGTAGTTATAATTAAGATTCATGGGTGTGTTCAAAATAATAACATGCCTATATATTGGTATGTGGGAAATAAATAGGCTGGTACCAGTATGCTTATAAAATCGATATAGCAAGTAATTGTGTCACATTTCAAACACCGACACAAAGATTCAGATCATGTTTGACACACAAATATGCATGAGCATGATCACACAACAAACTAATCAGTCATTTGTTGTTCTATCTACACAGAATCCTGTAGCAACTTGTTGTGAGTCTTGGAAGGTGGGGACTACACAAGACGGGATTACGGTGTAATCATTACACAAATCAAATTCCCTCAGTCCACTTCTTTTCAGAATTGGCCGTTATCAATGTTCCTACCACTTTATTTTGAAGGCTGTTATTCTGATTACTATGTAGCCTTCTGTATTTGTTTTTTGTTCATGATTTCAATTTCATGTTATATATATGCTATCGCTACATCTCATGATGTTCTCTATCCAATCTTTTGGATGCGATTATGAATAAAGGTGTGCTGTTAGTTTATTGCAATATATGCCTTCTGAACGCTGGATACATCTTCGGTCAGTCTTTAGATCCATGCTATGCGCATATGCCACAAAACATCTATCTAAAAATTCTCTCGTGAAACACAAAAATGGCTACTAGCTATGTGTTTTGCACATAACTTAAAAATCAGCGGTGCTATTTTTTTTATGAAATCGGTATGACATGCAATTCTTGTTGCTAAAATTGGATTAATTGACTGTTTTTTCCACAAATAGAAACCTTTGGCAAGGAGGTAGATGTAATAACCTAACCCAATGCGTAGCAACTTGCTTATAGTTATATCCTCGCCTTGTAAGGTAATTAAACTACCCACTATACCTACTTCTAGGTCCACATGGGCGAACATCACTACTAATAGGCTGAAACCAAATAGGCTGAATTGAAACGATGGCATGATGCATGGACGTCATCGCCTCTCATGTAGTACTGGTCGATGTACATATAGCATCACACTTATGCTTTTGTACTTGTGTAAGAGTAAAGCCGAGATACGATGGGCGAAGTACCAAGACTTATAAGCTGGTTTTCACTAAAGCACACTTCCTAAATGGTATTGACTCACCCACTATAACTGCATGCTTCCAGGCCACATGGGGCTGAAAACCATAAGTACATGCTTCAAATAGACTAGGGTACGCATTAGAAAGACTTTACTAAAACAAAAAAAAAAGAGTGAAATAACAACAACATATAGGGTACTGCAAGCTTCTTGACTTAACTACCCATTTTTTTATTAGTCACCAATTTCTTGACTTCGTGCACTTGCTCTTAATTTCTTTTTTTTTTAAGATAATGGATTAAAAGTCCTAGCCTCTGCATCATTTGATGCACACAGCCGTTAATTATTACAATAATGTGGTAATTGTTAACTGCACCATAAAGCAGTAAACACTATAAAGGAAGCAAACTTAAATATGTAGAATATCAAGCACATATCCTATTAGTAAATTTCCATCCATGATTGGTGAATATCTCCAACAAAGTAGTCTCCAAAAGACGGCATACCGATTTTATATGGTGTTGTTCCTCCTCCTTCTGCAGCAAAGCCCATAATCGAATCCAATGAGTGCCCCTGAAGAATATTACCTACATAGGTGAAAGAACATTAGTTTTCTCAAAAGAACTACATCATTACGACTTATCCATATCGCCCAACGCATAGCACTTGCTCCAACCAAAATAAGAAATTTTAGCCTTTTTGAAACACCTTGCAACCATATTCCAATATTAGAAAAATTGATAGGTAGTGGCAAGCCAAAAGCTATTTGAATTGCACGCCATATGAACTTTGCAAAATGACATTAAAAAACGATGTTGTATTGTTTCATTTGAATCACAAAAGCAACACTTAGAACAACCTTTCCAATGTCTTTTTACTAAGTTTTCTTTGGTTAGAATTACTCCAGAGCGAGTTTCCAAATGTAGTTGTTGCTCGGTATGACACCATTATTTTTCAACGCTCTATACATAGATTGGACTGAGAAACGCCCATGTTGACGTAAAGACCATTGAAAAGTGTCTTGCTGGTGATTGAGTTGCACAATCGTTAATCAAGCTACAAGCTCATGCCAAGCACTGAATTTATTCCCTATTAGCTGCTCTTAAAAAAAACACATTTAGAGGATTTGAACTCATAACATCTACTACCTCCGTCCCAGAATATAAGTATTTTTAGAGGTGGACACGATTATTAAGAAAATAGGTAGAAGTGAATGATGGAGGGTTGTGATTGGTTGAGTAGTGGAGGTAAGTGAGAAAAGTAAATGGTGGAGGGTTGTGATTGGTTGGGAAGAGAATGTTGGTGGAGAGGTTGTTATATTTTGGGACAAATCTTGAGAGCTAAAAGTTGTTATATTTGTTAGTGATATGCCCTAGAGACAATCATAGAGATGATTGTATCACATACTATGTTTACATATTTATCCGACTTTGTTCCTTGAAATAGATAAACTCATTATTGGTTAATAAATATGTGATTCTTTCATGAGACTCTTTATGTTATGTGTTGTTATTTCTAAAGGATCCCTGATCAAATATCATATGTGGAACAAATATGTTTAGATGATCCGCACATGTATTAATTGATAATCATGTCTCATGGATCATCACATGTATATATATATATATATATATATAGTAAATTTGTTTGGTGCTCCATGGTGCCTGGGCACCATTGTTGAAATTGAGTATATACCCAATTCAAATGAGTATGAAACTTTTTCAATTACCTAGGTATTAACATTAACTACTTTACTAACTAGTTTAAAGCAAGTTTGAACTGAATTTGAACTTGTTTTTGTTAGATTTTGATTCTAGGTATATAGCATCCATACATATAATTAGTTAGGTATGTAATCATGTATTGTGAAATAAAGTTAAATTTGAGTTGTTTTGTTGATAAGTATAGGTATGAATCAAATTATTATTATTATATATATATATATATATATATATATATATATATATATATATATATACATATACACTTATACATATATATATATATAGACATACTATACCGCACCTAGGGTGCGTAATAACTAAAATGCTCCCTCTCACATCCCACCCCCACCCCCTACCCCACCCCACCCCACCCCACAGCCAGTCCCCCACCCTCCCACGGCACCCCTCACTATGCCCCCTCCTCCGAGTAAATTGTTTACTACTCGACATCAGCGTATATATACCTTGTGTTGCTCTCACGTACCTAACCAACCACATCACCATCCAATTTTTTCGGATCTTACGGAGAGGCGGTTGCAGCCACGGGCAACGGCGCGGCGGCGGGCCACGGGGCGGCTGCGGGCGACGACGGTTCCGGCAACTACGAACGGCCGTAAAAATATATATATGTATATATATATATAGGATACCCATATGGGACTCTATGGTGCCCGGGCTCTAAGGTATAAAACACACAAATTCTCTCAAATATTTAAAAATTTTCAAATTGTGAGTATATACCTAGGTATATGAATTTGATTCATACAAATACCTAACAACAAAACAACTCAAACTCAACTTTATTTCATAATTCATTATTACATACCTAACGAATTATATGTTTGGATGTTATATACCTAGAACCAAAATCTAACAAAAAAAAGTTCAAACTCAGTTCAAACTTGTTTGAACTTGTTAGTAAAGAAGTTAATGTTCATATCTAAACATTTTAAAAAATTTCATACTCATTCAAATTGGGTATATACTCAATTTGAATCTTGGAGCCCATACTCCATGGGTCTATATGTGTATATATATATATATAGATAGATAGATATGTGTATATATGTATATGTATACATATATATACACATATATATGTATATATATACATATATATATATACATATATAGGTATATATATATATATATATATACATATACATATACATATACATATATATGTGTATATATACATATATATGTATATGTATATATATATATATATATACCTATATATATATGTACACACAAAAAAAAGAGTTATACCTTGAGGAGAGCTTTCCTCCCTTCCTGTATCAAACTTAGACTCAGTACAAGCCTCATCGTTCTCTGGAAGATGTGAGTCAACATGGTCCTCCTGAGTAGCATTTGAGAAAGTAGGTGAGTCCAGACTGAGGCCGGTTTCAGGGTTTGTCCCTCCATCTAAAAGAGCTTCTATATCAGAAAACTCGCCTGTAAAGACCCATGGGCAAAGTTCCTATATCATCATGTGGAATGGCCAACCCTTCACTGTAGGGATCGGTATGCGTCGTGACTGACGAATTGAGTACAGTCTCGCTACGAGGAGATAACGTCAATGACTCATGTTGAGAAGTTTGGAAAGAAGCACGAGTTGCTATGTCATCCGAATGGGCTTTACACGCTCTGCTTTCCTCAATGTTTTCTCCCGACTGTTTGGATCCTGGCTTCAGGACCTCTGTAGGCTTTGGGCTTGCAGCAGGTGATGGCGATGTGGTCTTGGCCTCAGCTTGAGTGCTCCTCTCTTGGCACTCAGGAGGAGTCGAGACGGACTCTGCTGGTTTTTGCTGTTGAGTAGGTGTCTCCTTGCTAGCTCCTGGACCCATTTTTTTTAAAAAAAAATTAGAGGAAGCAGCACCAATGATTGTTCAGATTCATTAGAGAAAACAAATGAATAAATAAAAGAGATAGTGTCAAGCCATGCACCTGGTGTTTGGGTTGCAAGCGCATTATTCTTGGGGGCAGCTCTTATGTCCCTGGAGCGTGTTAGCCGTGAACAAAATGAGGCTGGATGCTCCAGAAAGTTGAAAGCTTGGGAGCACCATTTGATATAGTGAAGCGAACGTCTGGTCGCACGACCGAAAGGCTGAATTGATATAGAATGGCCCTTAGGTTTATGGAAGGCGAGATGTCGTCATTGCAAAAGTTGCGGTGATTCTTCCTTGGAATCACTATGCAAATAACTAGAAAAATCGAGGCTGCATGTTCTTCCTAGTGTATACATGAAAAAAATTTGGCACGTGTTGGTCATAGTTGAACATACGGGCAAATCGATGTGGACAGTATACTTGATTATCAAAATGATCACCCCTCCTGTAGGTGACGCCACCAACAGTACAACTCACGAGCAAATCAACGGCTGCCATAGAAATCATCCATTGCACATAAAAGCTCTATTATCAAACATCTCAAACTCCTGGTTGACGGTCTGGAAGCGTATCCCGGATCGTCCCAAGAAATCCAACGAACGCAGACCACTGCCATCCTGGTTGAAATCCCAAAATAATTCATGTTCACTCTTAAAATCCTTGGACCTATAGTTCCTGAAGTCCACAATACAGGGTGGATCAAGTACTGGACATGACAAGGACGCTGTTATTTAGAGCTCGTTCCAGAAAGAAGCAAACCAACCCATGATAAAATGGTCTAGTACAAATAGAGAACAATCACTGGCTAAGGCCTTCCGTGCCGCCACGTAGTGGTGTATATTATTAAGGGCACGATATAAAAATGCCATGCTGGTAATGCCAATGGCTCGACGGCTACCCTGAGCAATTTCCACTACCATAGCAAAAACCTCAGGACGAATGAATTTCCCCTCCTCTACTGGAACACAGTAGGTGCATAACCATGCAGCAATAAAAGTTGCACGATACACCACTAACGGGTAGGTGTATACGTAAGACATTTCGAGGTCACACATGATAGCAGTTGGCCGGTCATTCCGAAGCTCAACGTGGAAACCCCTGTCCTCGTATAAGGGTTTTGTTGGGTCAACAAAGCCGTCTGGCAAGAACGATTGGATAGACACAGGGTCGTTGCCAAAGAAGTGATTGACCCATGTTGCGATGGTTACTAGTCCGGGACCCTCATTCAATTGTAGGGGACACTCATCAGCATATATGTTGTGTAGAGTCTGCACATGCCCATGAACTGTGGATGGTAATGGGATAAACTCTTCGTACAGGCGTCCAGAAATTGGTATGCCCAATAGCATCATACATTGTGTGGAGAAGGTAACCCATCTCTCCCTGGCTAGTGATTAAAGTATGCCCATCCACATTCCAATAAGTTAAGAAGGCGGCCACTAATACAGGATTTATCTGGCATTTGTAAATCGAGGCCATCACACCTCGAAATATGCCTGCCTTCTTGAGATATGCAGAGTCTTCAGGATTCACCAATAACATACGGGCTCAAAGCATCAACTTATCATTGGGAGAAACTTCCATCCTTAATTGCATTGGCCGACCTTCCACCCATCGCTTGGTCGTTGAGTTGATAAACTGTTGCGCTAGAGTAGCAATATGGCGTGGCAAATCATAAACACCAGCCTCACTAAAAAAAAATCGGCTTTAGGATCTGCATATCACCAGGTTCTCCTACGGTTCATCCCCTGGCTGATATTGAGAGCCAAGAAGCAGGTTACTGAGTCTTAAGGATAATTGATTATATGGCGTCGGAACACGGAATCGGCCCCAGTCACAGCTCCGTGTGAGTAAATCCTTTTCCGCCTGGCTTATAAGTTGGCTTCCCCGTTTAATGTTCAAACATGAGGCAACTTTACTCATGAAATCATCTGTTTTCTCTGCCTCGTCAGTATTTAACGGCTGCACACCCTCTGGCAAATCAACCGTCGTTTCTGCATCCTTAAAAAAATCAAAATCGTCCTTCCAAAGTAGCACTTCTCCGGCTTCTTCTTGCAGTGGTGCTCGACTAGCGTACTCGCTAAATAAATAATGTATATAATGAGGCCGTTCGGTTATGTAAAAAAAAAAAGAAAAAGGGACAAAGAGCGAGAAATCAGGAAACTCATGACTTGAGCAGAACTGCTCTGCTCAAGGCCTTAACAAAATAATAAAGCAACTTAATGGTAAAAAGAGGATCAATCTTGATCATACCTTACAAGCTGCTATTTTTACTCTACGACCGCGTTGAGGTCTCTCTCCGAATTGCTGTATCTTACGGGGTTTTGCTGGGAACTGGTGGCATTGTGCTCCTTTTCTAAATCAATCACAACAGCGAGAGCGTAATTACAAGGATTAACGTGCTGCGTGCTTCGGCCTTTGATGGTTTGTTTCTTTTTTGCCTGACTGCCCTGAGGGATTTGGTCGTTTATTCTCTCTCCCCATCTTGAATTCTGTGAGAAGCTGGAAGCGTCGACAAGATAAAAAAAACACGCATGATCATGGGGTGGTCGGCATTGACATACTAATCAAGGAATACAAACCTGGCTATTGTCTTGGTTCGTTCGCTCCAGCTATTGAGATGGGTGATAGGTTAAAACCTCCAGAGAAGAAAAAAAAGAGACGTGTTCGTTTCGAGGCAAGTGGCTGCTGAGAATATATATGCCCGTTCAATATGGAGTCCATGCCGGATTACTAATCAATCTTTATACGTCTCGGATTTGTTGGAGATATACTAGGGATCGTTACAAGCAAAATTAACCGTATATGGAGAGCACTATTTAAATAAGATGATCTGCTCACCGAGTATTATTCTGTCCTGCTTCGCGTACAGAATATACTCGGTGGGGGGGGGGGGGGGCATTTGTTTGATAAATTATTTTACTAAAATTTATCGAATAAATATTTCAAGTAATATTGGTCACATGAAGCAGAACTGTATGATAAGTGGGCCCAAAATTATCAAATAATAAACATGTCTAATTATATCCAATATTGGACTTGTTCTGTTGTGTATTCCGAATAAATAATAGTGGTGCAAACAGATTTCAAATTTGATGCACATTTTGAAGTTTTGAGGTATTCAAAATAAAAGGAGATTGACTAGTACTACCTGTAAATTACATTTGATCTGTTGGTGGCGATCAATCAGATTTCCAACTACATTAAAGGTGGGACCCACTGTCATTAGTAGAGATAATTCCATGATTATCTCCAGACTTTAGTACCAGGTCGATGGGTTAGCTCATCTCTGCGCTCTGGCTTGGCTTATCACGGAGATTAACGCGTGGCACTGGAAATTTGGATGCAGTTTCCATCGCCTCTGCCTATATAAGACGCGAACCCCTGGGTGCCGCGGGAGAGAGGAGGAGACCGGAGAAAATTAGAAGGAGAAGAAAAGAAGCAGAGAGAGGCGCACAAAAACAAATCACATAACAAATCACATTGATCTATCTGCTGGTGGTGTTCCGAGGAGATTAGAAACTTCCCAGTGCTGGTGGTGTTCCGAGAAGATTAGAAACTTCCCAGTGACTCGCCTGCGGTTCGTGAGCAAGTACGCCACAGTGAGATTAAATATCTCTCGTCATCGAGCCGATGTCGCAAGTGGAGATGATGGTGGTAGATGGTAAGTATGATAAATAATCCTCCCCAACCGTGTTGGTAAACCGGTCGTTCTAATGGATTATCGGAGTACCTCCTCCTTCTCATCAATTGAAGCGTTTTGGAAATCAAATCGCCTCCATTTTCTTGAAGCATAAACTTGGATTTGTCTAATCTGCAGATTGGATTATCCTCGTATTTTTTATATAATCAAAACTCTTGTTTTTATGGTGCGCATGCCAGGAGCGAGCCCTAAATTATAAACAAAGGAGGAGTGGAGATAAAAAAAAGATATATGCTATGTACGTGACCGACGAGGCCAAGCAATGCATTGGCTAAAGCTGAAAAATGCTATGGTTGTTATATATGTCTATTTATAGGCGAAACCATGGCCGAGTGCTGACAAGGCCAGGTCAATATACTATTAACACGCCTAAAATAGACAGGAGCCGGATACACCGTTGCTGGGCACCGACGAGGCAAAAGCAACCACAAAAATCCATGTTTGATGAAGGCCGGGATACATGACTGGGCACCGATGAGGCAAAAGTCACCCGCTTCACCAAATTCCCTCCGCACGCGGACGTGATGGTAGTGTACTATGACCGTGTTTTGGTGAAACAAAGCCACCCGTTACACATTCATTATATTCACCGTTAAACCTGCACCAACCTCAACCTTCGGCGAGCAAATAATTTTGAAGACGACGATCACAAAGCGCAGCTTAATCGGAGGTATTCCATAGGCTCGTCCTGTGGATGTAATTAACCGGTAGCCTCATTGCTAGGCGCCGGGAATCAGCAGACTGCACGCAATCTCTAGTCAGCATATCTTTCCATTAAGCATTCCTCGCGAAGGCAAAAGGCGAACTCCTGCGGGAGCCCTCATGTATTTGTAAACATTCATATTAATGAATCATGATTAATAAAATACAAGGTTTCTCTATTTTCTATGTGTTCATTGTTTTGTTTTCATCAAACATGTGCCAAGGGTGGAGTATGAGGAAATGAGCCAGAATATGGTTAAGCTGCAGGATATGCTTCTATAAATGCAACAGCGGTAGCAGGCGCAGGAGATGGGCATGCAAGCCTGGACCGTGGTGGTGATCAGACAAAATGCTACAGCTCTAGTGACGACGCCAACGTCATCGACACCTACACTAGCAACTGGTGTACGTCAGCAGGCCCAAGTACGTCTTCCACTAAGTCAGTCGATCCTGCCTTTGGCACATCCATTCCAAGATTCGACCTCCCAGTCGACGACTGATGCGGCCTCGGCTTTCCAAGCTCAGTTTCAAACCTTTCTCCAACAGCTAAGCTCAGGCTAGCTCAGACATAGTTTCCGCCATCAGCAGCCCCGCCCCCTTCGCCCCTGCCCACTGGGCGAGCAAGCCAAGGCGCGATGGCGTGGCAAGCGACGAACCTAACTACTACAACCTGCCAGCCCCCACGCCCTAGACAGTATTCCAAGATGCTGCGTTTGGACCTAGCTATCTTGCCCCCATGCCCCAAGTGGCAATCCCAGGCCAACCACAAGCACAAGTGATGGTGGCGGTCAGCCGAAGGCGGCAATGGTGACGGTAGTTTGTGCTGCTAATGGAGATGACGTTCGGGTGGCGGATAGGAGAAGCGGAGTGGCGGCCGGGGCGCAGCGCGGCGTGGCGATGCTGAAGTGATGTGACCATGACTACCTTAGATACAACCATTATTCACATCATGGAGATCAAGCTGCAGAAGTTCTGGAGTCCAATTCGGCAACTTGCAACAACGCTAATTCAAACATCTGCCAAATGTGCACACGAGCTCTATTTTCAGCCCGTGAGTACTTGATGGGAAGCTCTCGGAGTCCTCTTTCCAACGGATTCAGCCTCATCTCCAAATTTTATCTCAGTCGGTCGCAATCATATAAATAAGGTGTTGCGTCACCTATAATGGGTATATGGGCTTGTAACTTCATGTAGAACCCCATGTGGGGTGCGTCCCAACCAGATGGAGCACGACCTTAGGGACCCCTTGGTCGTCATCCCACGTCCTTAAATAGATAGGTAACCCTTCAGGGTTTCTTGGGTTTTGTTTAGATTAATGTTTACCGTTGCTACTTTACATTGTAGTTACATGTGTTGGCTAGACCGCCTAAGTACTTGTCTTCGAAACTCCAACTTATCGCGTGTATTCATTTCTATTTACAATATCATATTGTTTTTATCTTATTTTTGCTTGTTTCTTCGATTTGTTTGTAGGAATAAGGTTGATTTGCATCGTCAAGATCAACAACCCACAGAGAGGTGTATCAATTGCTAAGGCGCAACACAACGTCTTGTATGATTATAGTCGGATCATCCATGTTTCTCCCAAATTGAAATTATCATCAACTCACTGAAAGATTGGGCCAATAAGAGCCGTGAGCATATCAAGTGAACTCAAGGTTTATCAAGTGGTATTAGAGCTCTCCACTCAACTATTGTTGTCCCAATCTTCTGGTTAAGTGTTATGGAAATAGTGCAAGCGTCCTGATGACACGTCTTGTTATGTCTATATGAACCAACCCACCGCCTCCACGCAACAAACATATAAATAATCTAGGTTTTGCCTCCTCTTTTTATACTACACCATCGCTCATGGTCTACTCCATCCCACCCACTGGCGTGCACCGGTGATTGGGAGAGCATGTCTTTGGAACCATCGCCTACAATGTTTTGAACCGCAAGAAGGCGCTAATAAAGTTTTGGTCTTCTCGTCTCCTCTACGTTTGGGCACTACGTATCGATGTCAAACAACTAGTATTGTGCATTGGATTCTCGGTGTGTGCTACTCCCCGTCAAGCCGATCCTTTCTATAGGAGAACCACAACCATCGGTATGTTGTCATGTTTTGCTTATTTGAACTGTTCATGTGAAGCTATATAGACATAGTATACACGTCTAGAACAACTGAGATGGTTCAGTTAATTTACATGTTTAATGTATGATTTTTTCCATGGAATAAATTAGATCCATATCTTCTTATATTTCCAACACCTACTATCAGTTTCGGAATTATCGAGTGGCAAGCCAGCCCGTTTAGAAGTCTATCCAATTTTTTTTTCTAGTAACCCCTGTTTCGGGGACGAACAGAAAGTATTATAGGATGTTGCGTGATGCTCATTGTTTTGCAGTTATTGGCATGCACGTAAATTTCTTTTGTACATACGTGATGATCCTCTGTTTATAAAGGGAGTTGCTCGTCTCGTCTCGTCCATCGCATCTATAAAAATTATAGTTTTTGGTGAAGTACGGCAGCTGCGTTGCTTCTCTTGCCACGCAGTCACGTTACTGTTGTACTGTTCACTGTCCTGTTGGCCGTCCGATCGGTCCGCATGTTTTTTTTGGCCGTTGATCAAAACCCTAGCCCCCTAATCACGTCTTCCCCTCCCATCCCCCACGCGAGCTCCTCCTCCCCCTCGCCTCCTCCTGTCTTTGCGGCGCCTCTCCAGTCTCCCCCTCCCCTCCCCTCTCCCGACGACCCGACCGGCGACGCCGCTCCTCCTCCGCCGCCCCTCTCCGCCGCTCCCCCTCCCCCTCCCCCGGCGGGGCGCGGCCGTTCAAGTCCAACCTCGGCCACATGCTCCGCCTCCGCCTCGCCTTCGAGACCTTCCTCATGAGTAGGCTCCTCCACTTCACCACCGTCCACAGTCTCGTTCCCGCTCCACGCGCGCGCCGCCGAGTAGGCTTATGAACTAAATGACGAGGTGAATGCACGGATAAGGTGTGATAACTTTCTGAACCAAGAACTAATCCAGGACTACATGCTATTGATAATCATTCTTTTTGGAGCTTTAGTGATCTTTAAATGAAATAATCCAAGTTTAGCCGAACCATAATTTTCTATCGCATGATCTTAGATAGAAAGATTAAAAAGAAAATTTGCTTGATTGTCCTACCATGAAAATTAATTTAGATAGAAGGTTATGATTACAATATGCATTTTATACTAGCTTAAGAATTGATTTTTCATACAATATTGGTGATTGAATAATTGCTTTTACAAAGAGATGGCATGAGGCATGTCATTTTTTATTTTGTGGTTACCTAATGTTTTTCTGCATGAACATATACAGAATGATGCCTGGTTGGTTGAGCATCTTGAAAATATGGATCTCAATCGTATATTTTTTAGTTTTAAAATTTCAAAATCAATTCAGGTGCACTGTGCTACCAGCTAGCTTCAGATTGGCAAGTTCAACATGTGTTTTTAGTTAGTTTGTTAATGGAGGTTTTGTTATTGTCATATTTAATCAATTATACCTATGCTCATCAAAGTAGGATATATATGGTCTTCGTATCTATAGAATCTATAGTTTTTGGGAGGGGCATCTCAGGTGCTACAGGCGAAAAGTACCCAGGAGTCTTCAGGTCCGTCCGATGCGATATCCAGGCAATCCTATCCGCCTCCGCTCTACAGTGCAACAGTACCAGTTGTGGTGCCATCGCCGTGTGGTCTTCTGCTATGGGCCCCACAACTCCATGGGTCTCTTCCGCTCCCTTCAGCTTCTCCCCTTCCCTCTCCGCCGCCGCACTCCCAGTCTCTCATCCTCTTCCTTTCCCTCAGAGCGCGCCGAAATCGCCACCGCCTGGGTGAATCGGCGCTTGCTGGGCGGGTGAATCGGCGCTTGCTGGTGTCTGCAGGCCTCTCCTTCCATGTTGTCCTCGGCGAAATCGCTGGCTGCCGAAGTTCTCACCGCATCGTCTCCCCCAAAATTGCCATCCACCAACTTAGCTGGGCTGCCGGCAAGGCGGCACCCAGGTCATTACCCGGCGTGGATGCTATAGCCCCTGTACGTCCATCGGTCCATCACCATTGCTTCATTCTTGCCTTCTCTGTGTCTGCTTCAAGGGCTAAAGGCTAATGCTTCTTTTTTTAATATACTTTTTACTGTGTCGGCATGGTTTAGATCAGAAAATTATGCATTTTTTATTAGGGGTTCTTTACATTAATTATGTGATCCTCTTTCTTTTCCAGCCCTGCAGATCACCATGTTTGTACAATTTATAGTTGGACTAAGAGAGTATTCTGGTAATTAACTTCTGGGGCAAGTAATCTGGTATTTAACTTCTAGGCTAATGCTTATGTTTTTTTTACTGCTCTGCTCGATTTGAAATTGTTAACTTTTTATTAGTGGTTCTTTAAAATAATTGAGGAATCCTCTGTGTTTTGCAGCCCTGCAGATCATCGTATTGTTGGAATTTTTTTTTTGGGGGGCTTACCAGGTTCTCAGGTAATTATGCTTCTTCTCCTTTGTGTGTGTGTGTGTGTATACACAAAATTGTTTTGTCCAGCTTTCTGATAGCTTATGTTTTTACGTACTGAAAACCTGCTCCCTAACATGGATTTGTAGTTTTGATTTTTTTCCCTTTTTTATATGACACGGGCAAGAGATGCGTATGGGTGTCGTGTTGTTCAAGAGATGCATATTCTTTCCTGCTGGCCTCAAAATTTTATTTATCTGAGTGTTCCTTATATATCTTAAACGAGTAGGGTGAAGTGCTTTATGAGCTTCTTCGAGGAATGGGAGGTCAGAAAGGTGAATAGCAATCCTATCGTTTTGATTCTATGTGATCACTCCACATACACATTTAACTTAATTCACACTATATATTCTCACCGATATTGTTTTTCTGGTTGCTCCTGGATGCTCATATTACGTATTCCTTACCGATATAGCTTTCATGATGGTCCATTTTATACTAATTTAGCATTTCAGTTTTATTACATACAAATAAACGAGCCTTCTATTTTGCAGATTAATAGGGGAAACATAAAATACACCTCTTCCTGCTTTGCCACACGTATAGAACTACAAGTATGCATATCTATGTGCATGTGTCAATTTTGTGCTGCCTACAAAATCCAGTCTAGAAGTTGAAGGCTTACTCTACGTGCCCCATACACTAAAATGATTCATTTTATATGTTAACAAATTGGTCTGTGCAGCTCCATGAAGACAAACCATAGAAATTTAGCAATAAAATCATATTTCATGTCCATGGTCTCTTCTAGCATGCATGGTAATATTTTTTTTTCTTGATAAACTATTGTTGTGTTATTACTTACTGAATTCTGAAATCAAGGCTTCATGCATATGGTAGCAAGCTGTATATGGTGTTATTTTGAACAAAATATGATTTTATTTACTTGATTGCTGAAAATACATTGCAGAGATATTAGGCAAGTCAGGCAACGTAACCCTCCTGTCTAATGTAGTATTCTGTTTCTACCAAATCATGCATCCGCAGGGCGTTTGCCAACTTTACTGTACGCTCTTTGTTTTATCATGCTTTCGGTTCACGTGTCCTTTGGTGAGTCTTTCCTACATATTTTAGCCCTTTGGTAATTTGCACCTTTAGATTACTAGCTACCTATACATGTTTTAGTACTGTATTATGATACGACATGTAGATTCATTCTACAAATACCCTAAAATATTTTTTCCTCCTGAACAGATTGTCAGGTGTATTGTGAATGGCAGTTTATTTCCGAACAGAGAAATCATGTTTCCTCAGGTTAAAAGAAAAAAAAAAGAGAACATGTTTCTGGAAGTTCATTTTATTTGATTATCACCAACTCTTCACACTGTTAAATTCTTTGACTCCAATCATAGATATAATATCTGAACTGGATACTCTATGTATTGTCTATTATTGTGCATGTATTCCTCATACTAAAAGTTTTTATCATTTCACAATTCCTATTATCTAATGAATTCCTACTATTCACCATATCATTTTTAAATTATTACACCATGTAATCCTTGCTATTGAAGTTACTGAAGTACATGTCCTTTTGCAGAGGAATTTGACATTGGCATCATGCCAAGCCCTGTTGCTGTTTTCCGTCCTATGTCCTGTCCTGAGGTTGTAGAATGATAGTCGAGATACATGAGGATATCTCAAGATTTACTGACTAAACTTAAATAACTTTTTCGCACTTCAGAAATGGTATATTACTTCATAGTATAAATTTTTATACAAAGATTTGTGTCTCGATATGTAATTTTCTTTTGGTACTTAAACAAAATATTATTGCCATGGTATATTATAAATTTAATACTGTGATCAATAATGTGCCCGCGCAATGCGCGGGCCGGGCATCATCTAGTTCACAATATTCCCTCCCCTTGTTCAGTTATCTCTTGCGCAGTCTCGTCCAGTCCAATGGCGAGCAGTAACTCTTGGATGAACGCGCCTCCACCACCTCCGACGCCCTCCACCCTCTCCCTCTCTCCGCACACCACTGCTTCCTCCACCCTGCACGTTGCTCTTGTGGTCGTCCTCTGCGTAGCGGCGCTGGCTGGGGCACTTCTCTTCTCCATCGTCCTGCACATTGTCTACACCAAGTGGCTCAAGCCGAGGATCTTCGCCAGGGCGGCGCCACCGCCGCCGTCGCAGGAGGTGGTCGTGCAGATGCCACCGTTTTCACGTGGGCTAGCGAGCGTGAAGAAATTGATTGGGAGATGAACTCACTGAAGAAGCAGGCCAGTGCAGCGAGGTAATAGTTGTGGGTGTAGTAAATCGATATATTTTACTCAGCTCTATTAAGGATTGATTACTAATCATAGATAAGCTTTATCTGCTGTTTGTGAACAAATCGCAGAGAATGCGAAGATCAATGTCCTGTAAATATTCCCGTCCTAATTAATTCTAAGTTCTGCACTTATATTCTCGTCTTCTTGTTATCGAGGGGTGATTCGGGTGAAAACGGCTCGGATAAGTATAAAAATTAGCTCTAGCTATTTGTTTTTATTTTTCACTACTTAAAAAATTGATTTTCCTGAACGAGCACCCCAATAGATTATAGGCTGACCATAAGTGTCCGCGTCTATAAAAGTCAACTCCCATTTTCCCTACTGCTCTTTTAAAAGACTCGCATGCCTACGGCTCTTTCAAGAGATCCTCATGCAAAAATTATTTTTTCTAATCGGGCCACTTAAAATGTTTGCACGTGAAAATAACGGTATTTTCACATGCAGAGCTCTTAACTTAGCAGTATGTAAAAATCTCTCCTCCTCTTCCCAATTTTTTTATTCTCACCTCCTCTCTCTCTCCCCCACCGAAAGTCAAACTCCTCTCCCCCACTCCTCTCCCCTCTCCTCCCTCCCGATAGAGGGCTCCGACGCAGCGGTGGCAACGGCGAGAGCACTAGCGGGCATCCTGGCCTTCCTCATCTTGTCCCCCACTCCTCTTCGCTCTTCTCCCTCCCGATGGCAGTGCACGGCTTGGCTAGCGGAGTAGGGCGGAGAAGGCGCATGACAGCGGCGGCGATTGTCGCCCACGCGGATCTGGGGGCGGTGGTACTACAACAAAAACCTTATGTAGAGGCATTTTTATAGAGACAATTTTTAAAATGCCTCTATGTTTTGAAGCTCTATAATCTAGAGACATTTTTTAGAGGCACTTTCAAAATCGCCTAAAATATTTTTTCTCTAGAGACACTTTAGAGACATTTTTAGCGTACTTTGTTAAATTTATCTTGTAGAGACATCTTTTCGGCACTTTAAAATTTGCCTCATATGTAAAGGCATTTTTTCAAATATTAATATATATACTTAGATATAAGTAACACAAATAACATATTACATGTAATTAAATGAGGTTGAGATGGTTAGTGCATTGAAGATAAAAAAGGTCAACTCAAGAGGTCATGAGTTCAAGGATATTTTTTCTTTTTTTTCATATTGATTTGCTATAATTGCCGCAACATATTAATGCCTCTACAAAGTGCCGCTAATTGCATAGAGACATCTTATAAAATGCCTCTTAGCACGTAGAGACAATTCACCAAAAGGCACTTATGAGACACTCTTCAAAATGTCTCTATAATACTGTAAAGGCATTTTTAAAATGTCTCTATAGTATTAGAAAAATGTCTCTACAGGGTATATTTGTTGTAGTGGGTCCTCCCCCATACGGATCCGGGGGCGGCAGCCCTCCCAGCGCAGATCCGACAACGGCAACGGCGAGGGTCCCGGCCTTCCACCTCTTCTCCCTTACGATCCTCCCTCCTGACGGCGGCGAAGGCCGTAACCCGCACGGATCCGGGGGCGGTGGCCCTCCCCCTGCACGGATCCGGCGATGGCAGCCCTTCCCCGCGACGACGATGACCTAGGCAACGACAACAACGATGGGCTGGGTAGAGGCAGCGGGCTAGGGTTTCGAAGTATTTTTGAAAATGTTTTTGTGATTTTTTTTTTTACTTTTGCAGATGGCCAGCTTAAGCGCCTGCATGCGAAAATCCGATTTTCGCGTGTGGATGCGACACCAACATGGAAAATGACAATTTTCGCAGATCTTTTGGTGCAAACGGACCAGATGCCCGCATGCGAAAATCCGTTTTAGCTGTCTGGAAAAATTGCTTCTGTAGTAGTGTTTTTTATGAACTAGAAATGGAAACGAATAGCCCTGATCTGAAAATAGAAAAGAATATTATCTGAAAATACAAATATTTGGAACATGAAAACCTCTTAAATTGTACTTCCAAAACTAACGAGATAGTTCTTTCATGCAAAAGAATATATCAAATTCTACAAATTTTAAAAACAAATATGTTAGTTATAGCTATTTTTACGGTACCGCAATAAAAACTGATAGAAAACGCTTTCAACCAGGAATACTATCTGATTTTGTATCATTTGCAAATGATAATATTATTCGGATAATATCCAAATCGTTTGCAACAATACTATCTGATATTATCCGAATCGACACAATACATTTCCGAGAAAACATCACGATCAATCAGGAACTGTCCGAAACCACATTCATCCCTATTGTTATCAGTTATCCATTTTGTAAACGTCGGTTTTACTGTGGACCTGAAAATATCAACGTCCTACGTATTATGCAACACCTCCTGCTAGCTATAAAGTAGTTTAAGAATGATTTCATAATTCTACAAGACTTTTAGACCCAAGATGTGAGGGTGTCGCCGTATTCTCGTTCATTCTCGTCTCCAGCGGGTGTACACTAGTGAGCCTTCTCCCTCTATTTATATGCATAGCCATAAAGAATTTCTATACTAAGTGATTGACCCAACTAGTGGAGTGGTTAATCAGGCCGAACCTTCGTGGGCCGTCGGTTTCCTAATACTTTCCCTTGGACTCTGATTGCGTGATGCCTATGCCTCATCAAGGAAGAAAAAGAAAATACCGCCGTAATTTTCTCGGATTGTTTATGGCAGTTGTTTAGATTTCAATTCATGTTTACAAAGGAACCATTGTTTTGTTGCTAGTGTTGCCGCATATTCCCTACTTTCTCGATTGGTTCAAGAACGGTCAAGAGGACACGACATCATTTGTTTAATGATCTTGACGTGAGAACGTTGTGAATTCATTTGATTTGAAGTTGGAGGTTACTGTCAGGTTACGGATAAAGTATACCTCATATCCTTGGGGTCATAAGATATACGAATATGTTATACCCTCAAGTATATGGGAAGGTTACTTCTGAATTAAAGAAATCGGCTGATCTACAAGGAAACGGTCTCCCCGAATAAAAGGTGTTAGAGCAAGTTTAATAGTATAGCCAACTACTGGCTCTAATACATCTATGGCCAATCTAATATCTTATTCATACAATAGTTACATACTACACTATTAATAGTTACATACTACACCTGTCATACACACACTGTCTTGTAGTCCGTATTACAGCTGGCTACAAATATATAGCCCACTACTCTTCTCTCTCCTTATTTATCTTCTTAAAATATGTTTGCAGCTGACTTATAGCCTGCTATTGTACCTGCTCTTATGAGTCCTATTTGGAGGAGATAAGGGTTTCTGTACGAGGTCAAGTATATCCGAATTTTACTTGAAGACTAAGAAAATCTGCACAATAAATACAGGACAACCGGAGGGGTGCAAGGCATTGAACCTCAGCGCAAGACACCCGTGGCAGTAGAAGCAATCCGGAGGACTCGAAGCCAATTCATCGATAGATCTCGTGGAGCCATTCATCAAGCGTCTCATCAGTAATCTTAGGGTTCTACTGTTCTCTATTGTTTTTTTTTGTTTTCTTCATAATCCCATATAAACTGAATTAGGACTATTACCTCACGACAGGCCTAAACTAGTATAATCCTTATATCCTGTGTATTTGATGCCGTATCGTGTAAATCATCTTACAGCATACCCCAAATCGTCAATACCCTCAGAATACGGTTCGCGGGTATCATTCCTCGATATAATCTACATCTATCATTTTTTTTCTATTTTAAATAAAAACTTTTAATGGCATTTAAAGTTCAGAACAGTCCCGCTCCACCTTCCACAACTCCGAAAACAAGTTCCTGATCTCATGAACACGTTTTGTCTCGATAATACAATAAATAATGATTAAAATCCGCCCTTTATATCCATAAATAAATAGATATACACAGCTAAAGATCACCCGAGTGCAGTCACAAAACGAGAGACTACCGTTATCGTTCTTCAATCTGCTGGATTCAGACCCTTGTCTCCTGTGTTCCCGGCAATCCAATCATTTCCCGTACCGGAAGCCGCAGCCTGCGGGTGCTCAGTGCTATTAGTAAATACACGATCTGCCATCACATTCGTCGCCGTTCCATCGCTGCAACTAGCTGCTTGCCAAAACGCTCTCCTCTTCTGTTCATTGGATCGAACAGAGGAAGGAGATGAACAGTGTGTTCCCTCGTGGCCGAGCAGATCGAGCGGGACCGTGGCCTTGTCAACCACCAACTCCACACGCTGTTCATGTCACGACGGTTTATGATACTGCTTTCGGATTCTCGTAATGAGTGAGCAGCGCACACAGCAATGTCCAATCGTAGCCATCCGTCACTTAGACCGTGATGAATTAATGACAAAGTCTCCCTTGGCGGCAAGCCACGTACTCCCTCCATCATTTATTTTGATTGTTATATTTCCAAATGTTAAAAATTTATTTTTGATAAGCATATTTCAATCCAATAACCTATACTATTAATAACTTTCTCGAATTTAATGCATAACTCTCTATTTTTTCACACATAATTAGCTATATGGGCATTGAGAAATGTAAATATGTTTACGAGAAATGACTAGTAGTTTGTTTAAATGGATGATAAGTAGAATTACTTATCCTTGTTCTATGTGCCAAGATGAAATATGACCTTTAAAAGTACATGGAGGGAATACTAATTTACTTGATTACAGCGTTAACGAGGCATCACCCTTTCCAAATGATGTTGACAAGACTGGATGACACGGTAGTTTCGCGACAAATCACTCCAGAAGAAAAACTGAGCACGCTGAGCTCGACCATGGACTTTTTCACGCGACCTGCCATGTCTGTGCTTCTGCTTCTCTTCTTGCCGCTCGCCGCCGCCCAACCATGGCAAGTATGCCAAGACAGCCGGGGCAAATACACATCAAACAGCACCTACCAAGCCAACATCCAATCGCTGTCGTCCACGCTCCCCGCGAAAGCCGCCGCGCCCAGCACCGGCCTCTTCGCCACCCGCGTCGCCGGAAATGCCCCAGACACCGTGTACGCCCTTGCCTTCTGCCGCGGGGACATCACCAACGCCTCCGCCTGCGCAGGCTGCGTGGCATCCGGTTTCCAGGACGCGCAGCAGCTGTGCCCGTTCAACAAGGCTGCCTCCCTGTACTACGATCTCTGCCTCCTCCGCTTCGCCGATGAAAACTTCCTCGCCACCAACAACAGCGATGTAGTCATGCTGATGAACTCACAGAACTTCACGGCGAGCGTCGGCTCGGTCCGCCTCCTCCTCTTCACGCTGCTGAACGCCACAGCCGAGTCGGCAGCGAGCAGCTCGAGGAGGTTCACCACCTCGCGGTTGGACGTCAGCTCCCTCCCCACGCTGTACTGCCTTATGCAGTGCACGCCTGACCTGACGGCCGGAGAGTGCGCGGCCTGCTTCGAGGATTTCCCGCGGTTGACGCTCCAGTACCTCGACGGTGCGCGAGGCGGAAGGATTCTCGCGACACGCTGCACCATGAGGTACGAGATCTACCCGTTCTACTCAGGTGACACGATGCTGCGTATCATCAACTTGGCAACCACGGTGCCCGAGATGAACACCACGGCACCAACTACTCCGGTCACCGTGTATCCGCAGCCAGCGGGGCCAGGTGGTGCGAGCGCGCCACCACCGCCGCAGCCAAACCCCGGCATCCCGGAACAGGCACAGCGCTCGCCCTGTCAGTCTTGCATGAATAGTGAATACTCTCTCCTTGCAACACGATTACAATTTTGGAATACGGCTCATGTCTTATTGTCATTAATTAGATCACAAGAGTAAGGTGTGGATCGTTGCTATTGTTGCTCCACTACTGGCAATTCTGTTTTGTTTCATGCTTTCCATTGTATGGATCAGAAGAGGTAGAAAAGGTTTGTGATCTACATAAGAAAATGTATTAGTAATATGTTGTAGTCTGTCATTTGCATGTTGGGTCATCGAGGTAGTTACTCCAAATTAATGATATATTTATTCATGTCCATTTAGGAGAGGTAAACATGCAGAACAATATTGCTGCAGTAAATAGGCTGGAAGAAGACGCACTTGTTTGGAGATTGGAAGAGAGGAGTTCAGAGTTCTCTCTTTTTGAATTTTCTGAGTTGCTGGAGGCTACAGACAACTTCGCAGCAGAGAACAGGCTTGGACAAGGAGGCTTTGGCCCTGTATACAAGGTAAATATTGTTAGCATTGACAAAGGGGGACCGTAGATGACTATAAGATTGGAAAGATTCAATGCTATCTTGGATACAGTCATGATTCAATACAGAGCAAAACTACAAGAACAGAGTGAATCAGTTTGTAATCTCATATAGGTTAGCTGAAAATAATTCAAAACCACTTATCAAGTAAGGAAATCATCCGGTTTTCTTTTTCCGTGAAATTTTTTTGACGCAATTTTTCCGTGAAATTCATCCTGGCTATACCTTTTCTTCCACAGGCATAGTATATATTATAAACACGAAGTTTAGATAAGTGTTGCCAGAATTCCTCTAATAAAATCCGACTAGACCAGACTTGTCCCGAAGTTCAAGAATTAGGCCCATCAAATAATTGAGGTTTCACAGCCAATTTTATTTCTAATTCTTTACAGGTACCAAGATGTACCACTAATTATACCTTCAGAATTAACATCGAGTTCTTTTAATCCCATGTATGGTGACTCTCAATTTACAGTCTTACTCATAGGTACCAAATCGGTAAGAATGTAATATAATATTTCTTGGCAACTTACATGGAAATTTCATTTTGTGCGACGTTGTTTGTCATATTTCCAGGGTCAATTGCATGATGGGGTGGAAGTTGCAGTTAAAAGGCTTGCTTCACAATCAGGACAGGGTTTCACTGAGTTCAAAAATGAAGTTGAACTTATAGCTAAACTACAACACACAAATCTTGTTAGGCTGCTGGGATGCTGCATTCAGGGAGAGGAGAAAATATTGGTGTATGAATATTTGCCAAACAAAAGCTTAGATTTCTTTATCTTTGGTATGCACTTGTTCTTTCAAGTTTAACTCAATCACGTGACGTTTCTAATTCTAACTCATTAGTATTGTACTTTGGTCTCACAAGTTTTATGTATAAATGAGATGCAGATGTCGACAAAACCAGTTTAATTGACTGGAATAAACGTTGCGGAATAATTGAAGGGATAGCTCAAGGTCTTCTTTACTTGCACAAGCACTCTCGGCTCCGTGTCATACACAGAGACCTTAAAGCCAGCAACATTCTTTTGGACCAGGACATGAATCCTAAAATATCTGATTTTGGGCTAGCAAAAATTTTTAGCTCTAATAATACCGAAGGAAACACAAAGAGGGTGGTGGGAACATAGTAAGCATATATGTGTTTATAGATATATTTTAGCACTTAATGGTTGTAGTTACATGATTCAGCAATTTGATTTGATTTCTTTTCCCTCTTGTTTGCATATCATTTCAGTGGTTACATGTCACCAGAGTATGCCTCTGAAGGTATCTACTCGATCAAATCTGATGTGTTTAGCTTTGGTGTTCTTCTTCTTGAGATACTTAGCGGAAAAAGGAATTCTGGTTTCCACCAATACGGAGATTTTCTTAACCTCCTAGGCTATGTGAGTATATTCATCTTTTCCCTCTTTTTCAGGAAAGACATTTGAGTGTTTTATGCATGCACGCACACATAAATACACACGTTCATCAATAAATTAAGGATCTTTTCTTCAGGCATGGCATATGTGGGAAGAAGGGAGATGGCTTGATATAATAGGAGCGTCAATTCCTCAGACGATCCCTACAGAAGGGTTGAGGAAGTACATCAACATTGCGCTTATGTGCGTGCAAGAGAACGCAGATGATCGACCGACCATGTCAGATGTCGTAGCGATGCTAAGTAGCGAGAGTGCGGTTCTTCCTGAACCTAAGCACCCGGCATACTACAACCTAAGGGTATCAAAAGTACAGGGATCTACTAATGTTGTTCAATCAATCAGTGTGAATGATGTAACTATCACTTCCAACCCAGAGGGTAGATAGCTGGTACCTTTGGGTCTCATTTCCAGCTCTCCATATCTCTCGTATAACAGCATCAAGGCATCAATTGTAATAATGAAGGTATGTGGATGCAGTTGTCGTGGCAGCCGATCTCATCCAGTCTTATTTGCAGACAGTGGCGGATCCAGAAAATCGATTCGTTGGTGTTATAACATGTCTATCGGTGTCATAATATGGTAATTATGCTTAGATCATGGTGTTATGACATATGGATAAGCAGTTTTGCTATATGTTTGCCGAAAGTCGTCGGTGTCGCCTGACACCGGTCCTAGTAATGTAGATCCGCCCCTGTTTGCAGAGTTGTTTTCATAGTCAAGTTTCCCTTCCCCTTTATAAGGATAGTTGCTTTTAAGATATTTTGTTTTGAGGCGATGTATCAGGGATTTACTTAATAACTAGAAAGGTAGCCCGCGCACATGCGCGGGCAGCTTCTTATGTAATGTGAGTGAAATTTTATTATGAATATTTATGTGCAGGGTTTTTTTATTGAAATATTTTTATTATATTCTAAACTAAAATTAAACTTATTTTGTATTCTTTGAACGCTGGTGTTTTCTTACGATTACTCTTTCAATATATAAATTATAAAATAAAATTATTTGAGATCATGTGGTTTTGAATTGATAAGAACATATTGTGTCGAAACTATGGAGGTGGTCCCTTATCTCAAAAAAAAGGAGGTTGTTACTATCAGAAAATTTAGGGTATTTTAACTTGCCAGATTGATACCTTACAACCCAAAACAAATCAAATAATATAATTTTTTTGTTTGATTGTATTTTAAAATTTTATATTTTTCATTCTAACAGTCCTCATAAATATATTTGAATTTTTATATTAAGTATATGTTTTAAATCCAATAACAAAGTATCAAGGTCAATTTATATAGGTACGTAGCCCTCATATGTATGTTAAGAGAAATTAATTCAATTGGTAGAAAGTTGTTAGATGCCTAACGTGATATAAGTAATAGATGGAGATCCATTTGTGTTTTTTCCAATATAGATAATTTTAATTTTAATTGTCTAGGAGATAAAAAAACAGAGAGAAAAGAATGGCGCACGCTGTACACTACGGGCAGGGAGGGAGGGAGGTTTGGGATGTTTTTTTTAAATGATTAATATAACAACCTAAAATAATGTGTCAGATGTTTATGTCGAAACCGATGGTTGGATGCTTTGTTTTCTTATCAGAATTTTTAGGATTTTCTTTGATTTAAGAGAATGACGTACCATCTTAAGAGCGTTTATAAGATGTGTAATGAACTTTTAATACCATATGCTGCAAAGGTGGAGGGAGCGGGTTTGGGGTGTTCTTTTTTTTAAAAAAATAGATCTAATGACCTAAAATAATGTTTCATTCGATTGAAAATAACGTGTCCATCGATTTATGTCTAATCCGGTGGTTGGATGTTGTTTCCCAAAATTTCTAAGAATTTTATATAATTTAAGAATTTCATATACCAGCTTAGAGTTTTTTCTTATTAGAAAAACTAACAAATCGATAGTCTAATGCTTTGTTCATTTTTAATATTTTCTAGTATTTTATTTAATTTAATAGCATCGTATAGCAGCTTAAAAGTGTTTGTAGCATGTTTAGAATGACAGAGCAAGAGCTGCTACACCTAGCGGGTGGAGATATGTGGTATTTTAACGTAAAAGTAATATTGATTTTAACTTCTCATGAAGAAAGCTTGTTGGTATGTACTTGACAGGGAGGTTGTGGATGTGTGTGTTTTATAAGAAAAAACGATGTAACCTTCAAAAATGAAATAATAGATCCACCAATTTAATTGAAAATCGATAGGCGAATTAGAGTGTCACTTGACGATTTAACAGCGTTTGTAAGGTGTTACTTGGCGGCTTAGAAATATTTATATGCTGTTTCATGGACTTTTAGTATATAATAGTATTTTTTCTGAAATTTCTAAGATTTTCTTTAATTTAAGAGTGTCATATAGTAGCTTAGAGGTGTTTATAAAATATTTAATAGATTTTACCACCGCACGGATTTTTTATTAAAAAAATATATAACAACCTAAATGCATCAATTTAAGTAGAAACTGGTGGTCGATTGCGTTGTATTTTTTTCTAGTACTTTCTCCAATTTAATAGCACCACGCAGTGATTTAGAAGCGTTGATAGGATTTTTAAAGTGACGGAGGGAGAGATGCTAGAGCTAGTAGTTGGTCTATTTGTGATTTTCTTTTTGCTTGTAAAAGTAATTTTTATTTTAGTCTTCTTAAAATAGAAAATAAGGAAGGAAAAGATGGATGTACGTATAGTAAGTACGTTGGTCAGTATAATCTAAAACTATTACGTACTTTTGTACGTTGGTTCGGATGTTGGCTCCGGATGTATTTTCTTTTTTACAAAATAGATCTAACCATCTAAAATAATGGGTCCACCAATTTAAGTAAAAATAGATGGTTGGGTTTCTCTTATTTACTAGGTGCCATTTGACGACTCGTGAGTGTTTATAAGATGCCACTTGACGGTTTGGGAGCATTTGTAGGAAGTTTAATGTACTTTTAGTTTAGTATATATAATATATAATAGATAGATAATAGATAATAGAAATAGATAGATAGATAGATAATAGATAGTTTTTTTCTTGCTATGAATAGTACTACCGAAGGTTTATTTCCTTTTCAATCTCAGGTACGTACTTATGTTTGTATATGTACTTATTTTTTTTAACAGTTAGTATATATACGGTCCACCAATTTAAATAAAAATCGATGCTGAGATTGTATAGTACCACGTAGTGGCCTAAGAGCATTTGTTGGAGCGCCACATGGTGATTTAGGAGTGTTTGTAAGATCACAAATTAAATATATCATTTAATTTTTTTTAAAAGATGAACAGCTAAAGATAATTGATTTGATATTTGATATTTATATTGTAGATCTAGTTTAACAATGCATGTGTATATTTATGAAGTAATATATTTCATCTTTATATTGTAGATAGTTCTATTTGAAAGACCGTCGATTTTTCGTTGGCCCTAATGTTTATGTTTTATTTTGGATTTATCTTTATAGTAAGTACGTGCATATATTTTTTTTCTTCCGGCAAACATTATGTACATGAGAAAGATATTATATTATATAAAACAACATGTCCATTAATTTAAAAATCAATAACACATAAATAAATTAATGGATCCATCAAGTGAAAACTGACATTAAAATTAGTTCAACTGCATGTATATATTTGTGGGATAATATATTTCATCATTGTAGATATTTGCTTGTTGACAGTACTAAGCATGTATGTTTTATTTTGGTTGTCGTATCTCGTATGTACGCTTCGGCAGGCAAACAGTACGGAGGAGAAAGATATTATATATAGAGAGAAAGATATTATATATATAGATATAATTTATTAGTATAAAATAATGGGTATGTATAGATCTAATCTAACGGTATAAAATAACGGGTCCACCAATTTAAATGAAAATTAACGGTGAGATTAGACTATGCAACATGGTGACCTAGGAGCGTTTGTAGAATTGCCACGTGGCAGCTTGGAAGCGTTTGTAGGAAGTTTGATGGACTTTTAGTATATAATAGATATATTGAGTTTTGAAAAAAAAAATCCCCTGATGCTGCCCTTACGGCCTGTTTGGCGAGAGAAGGAAAGAGGAATGGAAGTTTTAAGGAGGTAGTTGATAGTGGGATTGGTCATGAGAGTTTTATTTTTAATCCCCATCCCTTATTTGGTTTCACATCTTATTCCCTTCAAGTCTCACGAATTAACAGGCCTCCCGCAAGTAAGAGATGAGTGGGAATTGGACCTCTTAATTCCTTATCCTAAACACCCTCGAATTTCCAATTCTTCCAACCAAACTACAGACTTAAACTCCTATTTCCCATGACCAACTCCCTCCAACTAAACAGGCCGTTAGTTCCTCAACCGTAATTCCACAAAGGCACGCACGAACCTAGAGTCTCCGCGCCAGGCCGTGAGCCCATGACCTGTTTGCCGTCTTCCTGTGGCCTCGCGACCATTCTCCACGGAGGAGAGGAGGGAGAAACCTTTTTTTTTTTTGGGTGTGCTGCGCGCCTGCGCCACTGGTGATGGGTTCATGGATTTCACAAGAAACCTGGATTTCTGAACAAAACACGGACACATATAAACAAAACTATTACCATCTGGCAAAAAGGTACTCCCTCTCTGTTTTATATTATAAGTCATTTGATTTTTTTCTAGTTAAAATTTTTAATTTTGATTAAGTTTATCGAAAAATATAATAGTATTTTTAAGACAAAATAGACATATTATCAAAATATATACAATTTTAGATTTAATAAAACTAATTTGATATTTTAAGTGTTGCTAATTTTTTCTATAAATTTAGTCGAACTTAATAAAGTTGACTAGGAAAAAAGTCAAACGGCATATAATATGAAACGGAGAGGGAGTACCCTTTTACCATGTGGTAGAAGTAATAATTTTGTTTATATGTGTCCGTGTTTTGTTCAGAAATCCAGGTTTCTTGTGAAATCCATGAACCCATCACCAAGTGGCGACATTTACTGCTTGGTTGAGCTTCTTCCAATCAGTCAAGTTGAACATTTGATGGCAACGCGTTAGAGAATGTACGTACCACTATAATGTGAAGGAGCACATTTCTACCGGTGAATCAGTGGTAACTCATCAGCACATGCGTTTGGTGTGGCTATATGATCTGGGCTCTTTCGAAATGCACTATTCTCAAAACACAGTAATGGAAAAAATACAGGATTAGAGTGTCCTAGCAGTTCAAATTCCATGGGTTGAAAAATAAAAAGAAAGAACGAAAAAATGCCAAAAAACTGTAGGAGTGAAAACATGAATGACCGATTGGAATGAGAGAGCTAGACACGATTTGTTTTTCCAAGAGGTTGGATCTCATGTTAAAATTCTTCCAAATTTTCTATGTTTTGAGTGAATCCAAAGTAATTTCATAGGATTTTTATGGCTATTCCTTCTATCCAAAAGATCACATAGGAAAATTTTATATTGGATTGAATTCCATCAAAATTGTGTTCTTAGCATGCATGGTTTAGCATACGATTCAGCAACATGACGATTCATAGGATGTTTAAACTGAAATAGACTGTTTAAACAACTTTCGATCGAAAACAGAGTCGAAAGCAGATGCTTTTCAATCGCATGATCCTACCCAACGACCAATGTTAGTGGGCCTCCAACTACGGACTTTATTTGCACGGTTTGGCCTGGTTGATCGAGAACTATTACGGACCTTATTTCTTGAACCATATGATCAACACCATATAAAATCCGGGAATTTTTTTTATTTTTTTATTAAAATATTTATAAAAAATATTTTTTTTCAAAAATTTACAAATCTAGTCGTCTCTCGCCCTCTGAGAGGGCATTTTTTTAAAATCGCCCTTCCAAAGGGTGTTAAGGGGCCTAAATGAAATTTTTTA